CTCTCTCTCTCTCTCTCTCTCTCTCTCTCTCTCTCTCTCTCTCTCTCTCTCTCTCTATTTCTATAAAAGCGTTGATTTTTAAATACTAGCATTTTCATCACAATCTGACTTGTACAGAATGCTCCAAATTCCTCTCTCTGTATTATACTTATAAATTTGTTCAACAATTTATCAATTTTTAAACTTTAATTAATCTTTCTTAATAAAAATTAGATATTGTTGTAGAAAAGTAAGCAACTGAAAACTTGAAAAATAATATGGACAGATCAAAAGAATATAAGTACGTATATATAAAACTAGACTCTCTGTATGTCTATATATTTAATCAATTTATACAAATAAATAATTTTTTGATTGCATTCAGATGATACTTTGTATACTAATTAACCTTATGTATACTAATACCTTTGTATACTAATTACCCCAATTACGTTCGAATCAGAGAAACGAATTGGAGAAATGATACGTCGATGTACGATCGACGTGCGATGAATGATGTGTAATTTAACAAATGCATTACATACTGTAGGGGAGTTCACAAACCGAGTCTAATCACGAGAAACATTAGGTTGCCTTTTTTACGAGGACAGATCAATAAGTCACTAATATACTAATAAAAAGAAAGAAAAATCAATCGAATTAATATACACACACATATCAACGCTTGATAAGTAATCGGTAATTACCCCCTTCCGACTGTGCGGCAGAGTCGTACAAGATAAGTGTACTGTTACCATTGTTGTAGTTCAGACTATTGCTGCTGATGACATTTTGACTGTAGGATCGACTCGGCGAGGCTGGCTTTATCGTCTCCTTGACCTTATAAGGCTTGGTCCCAATTTGTGGTACCTCCGCACCCTCGATGAACAAAAACTGCAGAATATATAACAGCACGAAAGCAACAAATCAATGATACACTATAAATTATACACTATAAATTAAAAGTATAATTTCTTTAAAAACATTTCGAATATCTCAAGTTATTCATGGCAATTAATTTAATGAGGATGAACAGAGCTTGACAAAAAAAGACGATCTTTTCAGAAACTTATTAAAATAATTTTCGATAGAAGTATTTTATTGCGGGAATGTATATCGCGTAGAATAAAAAAATTGATTAGAACGCGCGTTAATCAGAATTACCTCCACCGTGAGGGTGCCTGTAATGTCATCTTGCTCGTATGGCCGTGCCTGAAGAGGTATAATTTGCCGTTGACTCGGATTCATGACAAGTTCCTCGACGCCTACGATTCCTAGCCCCAAAAATCTTTGACTTTTGTTGACATGATCGAACACCTCTAATAACACTTCGCTCGTGTTATGGCTTATATCGCTGTAAATATATATGGAAGCTTAGTCGCTAAAATACAGCCTTCTAATATACAATTAGAATATATGGATATTTTTTTCGTAAAAATAAAATAAGGTATAACAATAATATCTATACACAACAACAACAACAACAACAACAACAACAATAATATAGATGATAATAATATAGATGAAGCGTGTAGCCACATGAATTTTATGGATAATTACAATAAAAATGCCTCATCCCACAGCGGATTTTTTGTGTCTTTTTTTATAGAAGTCTGATTCTTCTGCGGCGGTTCATCCAACTCCACGACGCAGTAAGGCTCCACAGCTCCTTGTTGACCGCCGAGGTCGATAGCCCTTACAACCTTCACAAGCAAACGCCTCTCGCCAGGTACGTATTGCATTGGAGGCGAGGATACGGAGTGTCCTTGAAGACGTTGATGCGACGATGGTTGATGTACCATTGAATTCTAAGTGAAATCATCACAGTGAGCAAATAATAACAATATATAGCATGTGGTAATTTACAAGTGAAATGTTGTTACTTTCAACAATAATCTTCAACAATAATCTTTCCAAAAAAAAAAAACGAATCTAAGCATAATATAAAATTATAAATCTTGTTGAAGAATCATGCGATAAGAATTTTAATTTACATTATAAATGTGCAAGTATTTATGATTGGGTATTATTTAATCTGATTGACAATGTCAATTGCTTGATATCGATATAACTTACTACACTGTCGTAATGTGTAGGATATGAAAAGCCTGGCTGAGGAGGCGGCTCTCTCCATAATCGAGGACACGTGGGATATTGAGAAAGATTGAAATGAACATTGATGCCTCGCAGGGCACCCACCACAATTTCCGTTACCACTTCTTGTAACTGGCTTTCGTCCAAGTCTTTCTTTATTGTACCCACTGCTGCTAGAGAAATCTTTACCTGTAATACGGAAAATAATATGAATGTAATTAATTCACACATTAAGAGATGCCTCGATGCTTCTCCAATAGAGCTGATTTCTACCGCACCGTTTGTATTACTTTACGTTGTAGAGAATGTCAAAAAATTCGTACAAAAAATATTTGTCGTTTGTTCTATGTCTATTGTTCAAGACGGCCAAGACTCTATATAAACACGATATATTGTCGAGATCGAGAACGAGTGATCATAAATAGCTGTGATTGCACAATGACAGGACGGAAGTTTCCATGTGTTGCGTCACAGGAAATCCGTTGATAACAATGTTACACACCTCAGGCCAACCATCACATTTCAGATCGATCAGCATCTTCTCAGTAATACAGACGACGTTGAGACGAGCTCGGAAACGATTGACATTGACTCGATAATGATTAATGTCTACCTTATCCCCTCGTTGCCGAAATGCTTTCAGCTGTAAAGCTGGAGTAGCCTCACAGTCGCATGTGATAGTCTAAAAATGATTACTTTTCTTAAGATGATTAATCACTAATTGCATTTAAATAGAAAATTATTGGCTGTTTAATTATTGTCCTAAAATGCTTTAGAAAATTAAAATAGTTACACATATGATTTATACTAAAAAATTCTTTATATTATATATTAATATATTAATATATTATATATATTAATAGGTTTTTTTTTTATGTAAACTATGACATTTGATTTGGCATTAAAGATGTTAATCAAGTTTGAAAGTTTCTAAAAATAAAATTAATCGATCGATATAATCAAAAAAAGAAGTTGATATCTTGACACAATTTCAAATGCAAAAGGTTAATCGGAGCGAGAAGGGAATATTTACATACCACATCATCCTTCGAATCACATTCGCAGAAGATATTTGACAAGGTTGGCGGATAAGTCTCTGGAAGTACACGAACGAATTCGACACCAACTCCATGCTAAAACATATACATGTCTAATTGCAACTGAACATATTGGCCGACGAAATACATTCGCTTAGAAACGCCTGTGTCACACTTCTTTATTACGTGTCATAATTATCTCATTGCCATCTTTTTTATCCGGCACGCAATCGTGCGGTATACTTGTTTCCATATTCAGAATAAGAACTAAAAATAATTCGTCGTATCATTTATATATCTACATAACAATAATATATATATTGTTTATTTTAGATCAAACAAGAATCTTTTAGACATAAATATATGAATATAATATATCTAAGTAATCAATTTTTATATATCGTATCAATTAAGTTATATACATCCCAGATAGCAAAGGATACACACAATAAAACAATTTTTAGATATCATCATAAGACTGTTCGATTTTAGATACACGTGCCATCTAGACTTTCTCTCGTTTACTCTAAAATAAGTTTGAAATTCTTTTAGAAAGATTAATTCAATTTTTACGAATAATCATATCGTTTTCGTCAAAATTATCTAAATTATTATTTACAAACCGTTACTTTGTCATATAA